TAAAAGGAAGAGACATTTGCCATGCTCTTCCTCTCTCTTCCACCTACATCTACAGACATCACTACAAAGCAACTGAAACACTGATCGAAGGGGAGAGCCTGGCTGAAGAGCAACCAGCCAGCCTGTGGTGAGAAGCATCTAAGTTTGTAAGGGCACTGAAAGTGTTAAGATCAGCTTAGAATGCGTTCTGTTTTTATTTCATTTGACCAGATCTGACTTCTTATGCTTTGACTTATAATCACTTAAAATCTATCTTTATAGTTAATAAATCTGTTTGTTTATTCTACCTGAAGCAGTGTGTTTGGTTTGAAGCGTGTCAGAGGATCCCCTTGGGAGAACAAGCCTGGTACATATCAATTTCTTTCTTAAATTGACAAACTCATATAAGCTTGCAGCATCCAGTGGGCATAACTAGACACTGCAAGACAGAGGTTCCTAGGGTTGTGTCTGGGACCAGAGATATTGGCTAGTGTCATTCGCTTGCAAGTAGCTGGGAGCAGCTTACATGCCAGAGGCTGTGTGTGAACAGCTCAGGAGTGGGGGTTCTCACAGCAGAGCAGGGTAAGGCTGGCTCCCAGAGACAAGGATTGGAGTGGCCTAGCAGATCACCGGTCCGGATAACACCAGAGGGGAACGTTACACTGTGACACTCTGAGTACCATTCCCAGACATGAAGAAGTCTGTGTAGCTTGAAAGCTTCTCTCTCTAACCAACAGAAGTTGATTAATAAAAGATATTACCTCACCCACCTTGTCTCTCAAGGAATCATCTGTCTATTATGAATGATGCTATCACCAGTAGTACTTTCCAGGAAAACGTTGTTGTTGTTTTGTTGTTGTTTGTTTCCCTAGGCCTAATTATTTTGCATAGATATATCCTGTAAACAGCAGTTACACCTAAGAGTTAAGTCAGAGACACTGAGGCTCCAAATCCTGCAAGTGGCTTCATGCAGGCAGACTCCTGTGTGCAGAACTCCACTGATGTAATTGTGGCTCTTTGTAGGTACAGAGGTCTGCCCACAAGAAGCTAGTTGCAGGATCAAGGGCTTAAGGCTTACCAGTGGTACGCTCAGCTGCTTTAAAAACAAAAACAAAAAACATCCTGCATCACAATTAACTATAAACACTTCTCCAAGATCTAATTGCCTACACATTCAACCAAACAGAATTGTAGGACTCCAAAAGGATTATCTGGCCGTTTCTAATGTTACAGCAGCCACCATCTCCTCATTCAAACCACTCTAAGACATTTATATGAAGCCTGTCAAAGTTAATTTCTGAGTGACAGGTTTGAGATATATTTAAATGATATCCATCACTATATTGAGTTTTGACCAATCACCTGGCCATCCACACATTGTGTGTATAAATGTGTATTTGTCTACCTCAGAACTCATCGGCTTCTGTGAACATAATAGATTCACATATGTGTTTCATATAGGGAAGGGCATAAGCCATTTGTAGGATTATCACCCTTTCGAATTTGCCATTTAAAGGGCAAATGTCACAAGCCAGGGACCTCTATATTTTATACATAGGCTTGGAAGGATTAGAATTTTAATGTGGGTAAGTGTCAATTTCACCAGACCAACAAACTGATAATCAAAACTGAAAGTGAAGCAAAGTGAGAAAAATGTTGCTTGAGAACTTATTAGAGTTTGATGTAAGGGTATTTATTTTGTTGTGAGGGTTTTTTTGTTGTGCCAGTTTTTGTTTTAATGGTTATAAAACTTTAACTTATTGAATCTCAACATCCACTGTAATTAAATAATTGATCCCCACCCATAATTTCCTGCTATTGTGAAATTTTAAATTGATTAAAATGGAAAAAATTCTTAAAAATAAACATTGCTGTTAGCTGTCAAAATGATAAAATAAACATTGACTTCCGCCAAGCCTATTTACAAGCATCAAATACAAGCAATGACTCAAGCCTGAAGGACCCTTGGAGGCAGAAACCCAAACAGAAATCCCTCTGGATGGACAAAGAAAAGAGAAAAAAGTAATAGCAATTTTTTTTTTTTTTTAGTACATCAGAAGCACGAAGCCTGCTAAGCAACCAGTGGGGCCACTGGACAATCGAGGTGCTAAAGGAGCACTCAAGGATGATAAGGCCATTGTGGAGAAACTAAATGAGTTCTTTGCATCGGTCTTCACGGCTGAGGATGTGAGGGAGATTTTCAAACCTGAGCCATTCATTTTAGGTGACAGATCAGAGGAACTGTCCCAGACTGAGGTATCATTAGAGGAGGTTTTGGAACAAATTGATAAATTAAACAGCTATAAGTCACCAGGACTAGATGGGATTCACCCAAGAGTTCTGAAGGAACTCAAATGTGAAACTGCAAAACTACTAACTGTAGTCTGTAACCTATCATTTAAATCCGCTTCTGTACCAGATGAGTGGAGGATAGCTAATGTGACACCAATTTTTTAAAAGGACTCCAGAGGTGATCCTGGCAATTACAGGCCTGTAAGCCTGACTTCAATACCGGGCAAACTGGTTGAAACTATAATAAAGAACATATAGATAAACATAATTTGTTGAGGAAGAGTCGACATGATTTTAGTAAAGGGAAATCATGCCTCACCAATCTACTAGAATTCTTTGCAGGGATCAACAAGCATGTGGACCAAGGGGATCCAGTGGATATAGTGTACTTAGATTTTCAGAAAGCCTTTGACAAGGTCCCTCACCAAAGGCTCTTACGCAAAGTAAGCTGCCATGGGATAAGAGAGAAGATGCTCTCATGGATTGGTAACTGGTTAAAAGATAGGAAACAAAGGGTAGGTATAAATGGTCAGTTTTCAGAATGGAGATAAATAGTGGTGTCCCCCAGGGGTCTGTTCTGGGATAAGTCATATTCAACATACTCATAAATGATCTGGAAAAAGGGTTAAACAGTGAGGTGGCAAAATTTGCAGATGATACAAAATTACTAAAGATAGTTAAGACCCAGGCAGACTGCAAAGAGCTACAAAAGGATCTCTCAAAACTGGGTGACTGGGCAACAAAATGGCAGATGAAATTTAATGTTGATAAATGCAAAGTAATGCACATTGGAAAGCATAATCCCAACTATACATATAAAATAATGGGGGTCTAAATTAGCTGTTAGCTGAAAGAGATCTTGGAGTCATTGTGGATAGTTCTCTGAAAACATACACTCAATGTACAGTGGCAGTCAAAAAAGCGAACAGAATGCTGGGAATAATTAAAAAAGGGATAGATAATACGACAGAAAATATCATGTTGCCTCTATATAAATCCATGGTATGCCCACATCTTGAATACTGCATGCAAATGTGGTTGCCCCATCTCAAAAAAGATATTGGAATTGGAAAAGGTTCAGAAAAGGGCAACAAAAATTATTAGGGGTCTGGAACGGCTTCCGTATGAGGAGAGACTAATAAGACTGGGTCTTTTCAGTGTGGAAAAGAGACGGCTAAGGGGAGATATGATTGAAGTCTATAAAATCATGACTGGTGTAGAGAAAGTAGATAAGGAAGAGTTGTTTACTACTTCTCATAACAAGAACTAGGCATCACCAAATGAAATTAATAGGCAGCAGGTTTCAAACAAACAAGAGGAAGTATTTCTTCACACAACGCACAGTGACCCTGTGGAACTCCTTGCCAGGGAATGTTGTAAAGGCCAAAACCATAACAGGGTTCAAAAAAGAACTAGATAAGTTCAAGGAGGATAGGTCCATCAATGGCTATTAGCCAGGATGGGCAGGTTGCCAGATGCTGGGAATGAGTGACCGTGGATGGATCACTTGGTGATTACCCGTTCTGTTCATTCCCTCTGGGTCACCTGGCACTGGCCACTGTTGGATGACAGGATACTGGACTAGCTGGACCCTTGGTCTGACCCAGTAGGGCCGTTCTTAGGGCAGGAGAACGGGAGGGAGCGCTGACAGCGAGCCCAGCGCAAGGTAAGCGTCTGCAGCCTGCAATCTAGCTTGGCCCCACGCTCGCACGGAGCAGCACAGCACAAACCTCCTAGGCAGAGGAAGGCCGCTGTGTCTTTTCAGGGACAGAGCCGGAGGAGGGGCAGGGAGGAGGGGCAGAGCAGAGAGAACGAGCAGGCGTGAAGGCGGCAGGGGCTGGGCACAGAGGAGGAGCAGGTGCGCGGCGGGAGAGGCTGCGGCTGCTGGGCTCGGCATGGTGCTGCTGGTGGTGATGGGAGTGAGCGGCTCGGGGAAGTAGGTGCTTTCCCCTCCCCGGGGGCGCGCGCGGACTGTCCCAGACACCGGAGCCCCTGCGGGGGAAGCTCCTCGCCTGGACGGCTCCATCCAGGTCCCTCCCTGCGGACGGTGGGCGGGCTCGGCTTCCCCGCGTGTCTGGCCCTGGCCCCGGCCCCGCTGAGGGCGCGCTGTCCCGGGCTTGGCCTGAGGAAAGCGGGTGGCCCCCACTGCAGGGTCTCAGCCTGCCCCCTCCAGGGCCAGGGCCAGGGCCAGCCGGACAAACCACTCGGGGCCCTAGCCCAAGCCCGGGCCCCTTCAGGCTGCAGCTCCAGGGCTCCCCGCATTGCCCTGGCTGACAGGGAACTAGCTGTGCAGTAACCAGGAGATTGGTTGCTTTGCCCTCAGCACCACACGTCTTCTAAAGGGAGGGGGGCATTTCCTCCTGTCTGTAAAGGGGAAACGTCTTCTGAAACCTGCGCTGTTGCAGGGGCTTTGGGACAACAACTGAAGACTTAACCCAAAGGCTGCCTGTGCTGTGGTACATCCCGCGAGGGCACTTTTCAGTAGTTCGTGGTTTTTCATTCTTCAGAGGGGAAAAACAAAACCACACCTGCACTAAGGAGCCTTTGGTGTTTTACACCCACACAAGTATGGAGGGTGACTCAGGCACCTCATTACAGTCAGAAGATACATTTCTTTGAGCCCAAATTGCCTACAAACCAGACTAGCTTTGTGTAATTTTCACACTGTTCCTGTGCTAGGCTATGGTACACCCTGCATGCACTATTAGTGGATTTTGTCAAGAGTTGTTGCTGACGGAAGGGTGGCTTTATTTTTATTTTATTTCTGTGCTTTGAACAATATTCAGTTTCTTCTGTTTTATAGCTATATAAACAATTTTAAAAACTAGCTCATGAATAACAAATGGACACAAGTGAGGAGTTAAGGCTAAAGTTTCCCTTTTGTTTCCTGATATTTCAGCACACATCAGCAACTGTTCAGGTAGCTAGCTAGCTACCCATTATGCACTGTGGGGCTTAGTAGGGATAACTGCGGCCTTAACACTCTCATTTAATTGCTCTTGTTGGGTTAGAATAGACCTTTGACTGTTTAACTCGACTTGTATCTACAGTACTTTGCTTTGTAGGTGACGTCAGTGACACTGTGGTAGAGAGGGGATCTCAGATCAAGGGACAATGGGAGAAATCAGGTTTAGAGGGTTGAGCAGGGCCTACCTGACCACTGTCCTCATTGTAGGAGTTCCTGCATTAGTATTATCCGAATGCTGAATTAGTATTATCCTATGCAGTTTACCTCAAAGCATAGAGACACCCCTGTGCAGCTGTGGTTTCCCCCACTAAAGGGTTTGGAAGGTGACAACGGGTATGAAGCATTGGCAGAAAAGCTTCTGATTTAGTGACTGGGAAACTTTTCCCTGGACTTGTAACTAAAAGGACCAAATAACTTGGGACTCACAGCTGTGCCTGCTCCCGTCCACCTTTTTTTTATTTTTTCAAATGGCCTTGACAAGAACTTTCAAGGGTGGACTTCCTCACACAAGATTCCACACTACTGTGACTCTTGTTAGCTTGAAAAGAACTTGGAGAAGACTCCTTTCAGAACGCACCAGGATTTGTCTTGACTGGGATAAAAGGTGTGTTGTTAGAACATGTTAGCTCAGGAGTTCTCAAACTAGGGGTCGGGACCCCTCAGGGGGTCGTGAGATTATTCCATGGGGGGGGTCACTAGCTGTCAGCCTCCACCCTAAACCCCTTTTTGCCTCCAGCATTTATAATGGTGTTAAATCTATTAAAAAAAAGTTTTTAATTTATAAGGGGGGGGGTCACACTCAGAGGTTTTCTATATGAAAGGGGTCACCAGTACAAAAGTTTGAGAACCACTGTTTTAGTTTGAATCTTAGGAACTTCTGAAGAACTGGAAAAGAGACAAGAGTGTAACTTGTAGCATAATAAATTATCATTAGTTCTATGGAGAGGTTAAAAAGAGCAGAAAGGAATCAAAAGAGGAATACTAAGGTATATGATTAAAAGTGGTACAAAGGTGAATATCACAAACCAGTATATGACAGATTTAAGAACATCAAACAAAACAGAGAAAGAGTGAGGAAGAAACAGGAGAAAAAACTTTTTTAGCTGAGAATAATTAATGCTTGGAATGGACTAGTAAAGGCAGCAACACAAACAGCTATCATTAACACACCCCAAAAAAGCATTAGTTACTTTTAAAAAAAATCATGTGCTATATCAGTGGTCCCCAAACTTTTTACCTCAACCCTCCCCCCCACAACTCTGTCCGCACCCCCGCCCGAGCTGGGGCTGGGAGCAGGGCTGTGGCTCCAGGAGGCGGGGACACAGACAGGGATAAGGGGGCCGAGGCTGAGGCCACAGCTGGGGGTGCCTCGGGGCAGAGTTCCGGGCCTGGCAGTAGGGACCCCCGACTGGCAGCTGGGGCTGGGGCCAGGGACGTGCTGGCCGCTGCTTCCCACCGCCGCTTCCCACAGCTCCCATTTGCCGGGAACGGCAAACCGCAGCCACTGGGAGCTGCGGGCGGCCATGCCTGCGGACGGTCAATGTAAACAAACTGTCTCGCAGCCTGCCAGTGGATTACCCTGATGGGCCGCAGGTTGCCTACCACTGGATTAGACCATCTGGTATTTCCAGGCCTCTATCCAACATCTCTTAGAATCATAAAAATTAGAGATTAAAGAGATTGGGTTATCTCACTCTGGAAGTTATCATGAAAATGTATCAGCTCAGGGACCCTTCCATCTTTTACCATGAAGTAAGGAAATGACTAATATTTCATCCACACATCAAAAGTACTTTTCCAGGCCAAGGGCAAGTAATGAGTTTATCTGGTCCACCCCCCTGGGAAGTGCACAATTATTCCCTAGAGTGCTTTATCCAGTTTAGTTAGTTCCACACAAATAAAGTTATCAATGAGGTTTCCACCACATCCTTTAGTAGGTTATTCCATAGTCTGATTTCTTCCTCCAGGATTAAAGTGTTTTCTGATTCCCAGGATAAATTTCTTCATGCTCGGTTTCATCTTAGTACTCCTAATTATATACTCTTAAATTATTTCCCTTATATTTAATGTGGATGCATATGTTTCACAATATGGTTGGCATTTAACTCCTCAATAATCCAACTCCGCATAGATACAATCACCCAGTCATTTAGAATGAGGCCCTCAGCGCATGACCTCAGTCAAAAAATAATCATGTCTTTACATGCTGCAGCTTCTGTTGATCTAAAAGTTAAAAGCATCTTGTGATGGGTGAAACACTGCTGGAAGTCACTGCCAAACTGATGTAACCAAAGATGACAACTGACTGCTTTTCAAATAAAAAAAGTGTGTCTGCAACTTTCAAAGTTTTACCAGGAGCCCTGCTGTTTCTAAAATCTTAATTTAGGATAACTTTTAAGAACTTGCAATAGTGAGTCAAATTCTTTTTAATAACTTGAATGATAATAGCTGTGTTGTGTTAAACTTAATGTGTCAGATATTATTATTGTTTCCAATAGTACCCACGATGTGCTAGCTGCTGTACAAACAAAAAGGCTAAACTCCTGCCCTAAAGGGCTAGAGTATGTCACATTATTATATTCTGAATATAAAGAAAATTCATTATTAGCCTAGGCTACTACATGACTAGCTAAAAGATGTTACCCTGGATCTACACTAGGAAAAGGGTCAAGTTTAGATCAGGACTAGCTAGCATGTGTTAGCTAAGCCCTACCTAAACTTGACTATTTTTCCTAGTCAAGACAAAGACTTAGGTGCCAGACAACATACGTAAGTGTTCTATTTTGTGCTAGGCAGAGGGCATTATTGATGCCTTCAATAGCACTTTTCAGCCCCCATGGGACACTGGCAGGACTGTGCATCCACTGCAAATGACTGAAATTAAGCAATGGATACAGTGTATACTGCTTGTTTCTAGACGATCTGTCATATGTTCTGTTTGTTCAGCACCTAGCACAATAGGGTCTGGTCCATGACTGGGGCTCCTATGTGCTATGGTAATACAGGTAATAAATAAACTAATAATAATAGGAATGCTGCTGAATATGTTGCCACTGTGCATCCTGCCCATTGAGCTTCCAAAGGCAGAATGGTTCAGGGAACTTTGTTGGTCCCTGCAAATTTACTCCCCTCCACCAACCTAATTTCATTCCTGTTGTTTTAATAATAGACTTTCCCACTTACAGGTATATATTCACTACCACCTACAATTCTTTAACAAAAAAATCATTTAATAATATTGGGTGTGGGGTGAGTTAAGAGGTGATAGTTGTACGTATGTGTTAAAGTGAAGCACTCATCAGTTTGGTCTCATACCACAGAATGCTTAAGTGTATGCTATTATTGCTTGCTTATATACTATACCTGAATTTTAGCAAAGATATAACTAAGGCCAGTCTAATTTATTCACTAAAGATTACTTACAGACAATGTTGCTGGTAGATGCCATGTTTGCATATCCTCAGCCTTTTAAATATTACCAGACCAGAACATTATCAAGCAATCCTAACTGAATTTCTGGTTTTCCCACTTACAGTTGAATAATTCCCACTCTCTCCTCCCTTTTCCTTTCTCTCCCTGACACAGTGACCAAAGTTTTATTGGGGGTTTTTTAGTTCAAAGTTTTTGTTTACAGGTACAGCTAACCATACATATTGGGGAAGAGGAGGAAAACAGTATGAAGAGGCAAAAGCTGCCTACAATTTACAGTCCTGATAGGATCTCTGGCTTGATTTTATATGTTTAAGGATTTATCCTCACAGCAGATTATACTTATTCTTTTTATATGTTGATGTGGTAATTGAGTGTATATGAACATCCACCTTGTGCTGATGTTATTATCTCTGACTACTTATGATTTGGAAACATCAGGATTATTGGGGCAGAAGGGGACTTATACTTTACTCTGAAGCATATGATTCTGGCTAAAGCTAGAGACCAGATGAGGAACTAGATGGACCATTTGTTTGAGGTACTATGGCAAATACTACATTCCTATGACCAGTGTCATCCCAAGGAGGAAAGACAACACCTCACTTCATTTTAAGGGAAAGTTAAAATTATGAAGTAATGTTTATATAGTGCTCTCCCTGTGTTCTCTTACAGATCCACTGTTGGGTCACATCTGGCAGCTAAAGTATGGTATTTTCTAACACTACTGGTTTTATTGTAATTTTACATAGGATTTTCTTCACTTCTAGCAAGTCATAGTTCGTTAAATTATAAATCTTATGTCATATGTAAATATTACCAATTTGTGAATAGTTGAATCTGTCCTGACTGAGTCAGGCATGGATGAATATCATTATATAGTGCAGTGTGAATTTGACTTATAAACAAACATGGTATATATAGACTTGCTATTTTCTTCCTCTTGATTATACCTTGTATTTCTGGGAAGTGTCATTATGTAGATGGTGAGATTCATATTGTGGTGCAGAAGTCCTACATGTATCCCACAACTGTACTTGCCAAAGTGTTCTTGATAAACTAGTGAGTTACCATGAGCTAGTTTGTTTATGCTAAATTATACATAATTATAATTTTTTTCTTAGCTGGGATGGAAATTCTATGATGCTGATGACTATCATCCTACAGAGAACACAAAGAAAATGGCTCAAGGAATACCACTAAATGACCAGGTAGCTATATTGTATATAATCCCAAAGGCAGAGAAGTCAACATATGTTTACCTTTCTAAGCATTGACATATCTTTTTACAGTGAGCTATGCTTTATATAGATTAGCATTACTGCTTCCTGGTCCGTTGACTCTGAACCCAGGCTGAGTTTGCAGGGCTAGTGTTAAGTTAGTTTACAAGTAAAAAACAATTCCCCTATTAGTTATATCAAATTATTTTAGAGTCCCCCAAAATATTCTTAATGCCTTACAAAACCAGAAGAGACACTATAAGGTGCTAGTTTGTCTCCAGTCCCCCAAGGAGCTCTGTCACAGCCAGAATCTCCTTCTAGGCAGTTTTATTTCCCAAACATAGGTTAAAAAAAACCCACAACAAAAACAGTTATTCAGCTCTTCCTAGGCTATAACTCCCAGGTGATTTCCCCCCCCTTTGCCTCTGTCACTCCCTGCTGCTTCAGGGCCTACTGCAGAATTCTTCCTTGCCCTTTATGCAGGGCACCACCATCCATGGCTGTCTCCCTAGAGGCCCTTTTCCCACAGGTTTTCACTGTCTCACCTTGACTGGATGGTGGGGTAAAAAATTCCTCCCTCCTCCTGCTGCTGATCCATTTCCTTACTGAAAGCCTGACTCTTTATAGCCCCAGGTGCTGTCCCACCCTCCTAACTGGTCAAACTGGGAGCACTTGTTCTGGCACTGGGGCCTGGGACCTGCTTCATTTAAAGGGGCCAGACCTATGGCAAAGACACTCTTTGATCATCAGAGTTTACATAACTGGTATTTGACACAATAAATGAGGGTCATACACAGACCAAAAAAGGGAGCAAGGGAAGAGGAAGAACAAGGGTGACAATAGGATCAATTACTTAGTAAGGGAGGCGCATGCCTTGATGGCTGTTATTGGCTCGGGGTGGGATTATGAAATGCACTCAGCATTGGCCAATTTTTTCTCCCATCAAGGTATTTAGTTCAGTCCCACCCTTACATTATCCTTCCCCTCTCAGATGAGATGGCAAGAGCAGCTTGTAGGAGGGATTTGAACGGGGCAGAAGACGGCTTGGATAATAATTTGGGGGAAAGCACTCCAGGCATAAAAGGCAGCATGAAAGGAGACCTGGAAACATGAGAGGAGACAAGAAGGTTATCAAGGCTGGCATCATTCATCATTAGCAAAGCAAAGGGTTGATGGTTGCTCCACAGGGGCAATTACTCAAAGGGGATTTAAGATGGATATAGCCATAGTTTGTTGCACTTTTTTGATTCCATATCAAAGCTGCCTCCATCGTCACAGCCACGTCTTTCACACCCGGTGTGTAAGGTGTACAAGGTGGAATGTTGGCAGTGATTTCTGCAGAATTAAGATTACCTGGCTGATTTTGCTGTGTAATGACATTTGTATTTTCTGGGAAAGTTAGTGTTCCTAAATATTTCCCCCCATCCCTGCCCTACGTGATAAACATTTACAACCTTATCCCCAGTTTAAAAAGCTTGTTGGTGGTGGTTTATTTGGGTTTGTTTCACCCCCCGCCCTTTTTTGCCCTTTGGAATTTTATAGCATTTGTCCCAGAGAAAGATAAACACTCATCCATGCAAACAAGACACACCCAAACGGGAGGCATCTGAGGGAAAAATGGGATCAGCAGGAATTCACTCTACCTGCCTACACAGGTATACAAACAATTAGTTACCTACTCCTAAGCAAAAACGAAACATACACAGACTCTTAAGCCCCGTTCTGCAAGTTGAGCCACTTGGATGGACCCCAGCACCTGTGAAGAGCTTTACAGAGTTCATTGGAAGTCTGCTCATATGGATCAGCTTGTAGGATAGGGCCTTAGGCCTGGATCCACAAAAGTAGTTAGGTGCCTAAACCCCAGATTTAGGTGACTAAGTCCCAGTTTTGGTTCCACTGCAATCTACAAAACTCCTGCCAAACCAGCTATTTTAGATGTGAAAACAGCTATGTGAGAATAGATTTGTTGTTTAAGTTGTCAAATAAAACAAGAGTTAATTTGGTTCTTCGAAAGGTTCACAATATGGCGTATTAAACCTAAAACATACATTACTACTACATGCAACTTCCATTGATTCTCCTTTTCCATCCTGTATATAAAATTAAAAGCACTTAAAGTTTTCAGTGCAGATAAAAAATCTCTCCTCTCCATCCTCCATGAAGTCATAGAGGTTCTGGATTAGAAAGGAAGAGGGGAGAAGGTGAAAATCTGTTTGCATGGTGCAACATTACATTATTTATAAACTACATACTGAAGGAAGTAGGGATCTTCTAGAAGAAATCTTATGTGATCATATCATTAGAGATGGGATCATAATGTATAGGCACAAGGGTAAGAATTAAAGTTGCACAAGCAACCTAACTGGTGTTTCTTAACTTTCAGTTGCTTGACTTTGCAACCTAAACAAATAAGGTATTTTGTTTATATGTAAAATATAGTATACATACATACTGACAGGCATAAAGGCATGGATCTATAGCAGAATAGTATAGACTGAATTTTTAATTTATTCAGTTTTCAGTTAATGGAAACAAATGTTAAGAATTCATATTCATTTGCTGTGTTGGTGTTTTATTCTGTTCTGCTCCAGTAGTTTATTTTTTCAAGTAATGGGTTTACACACTTTAGATATGTTCTTGTTTTTGTAAATTTAAATGAAAAGTTGTATAGGTTAGCTTTGACTGTAGAGACAGATACTGGATCAGTTTGCTAATGTGACTGCAGAGGGAAAATAGTTGGTCTATTTGCCTCCCCACACCAAAGAAGGATTGAAAGAGATTCACCCAGTTTTATATTGCAAGTTAACTGCTACGTAGATGTTAGACAATTTAAAGTGAAACTCCATAATACATACTTTCAGCAAACTTGTTTTGTTTCTAGGACAGGATTCCATGGCTTTGCAAATTACATGATATATTAATGAGGTAAGAGAACCTCTGACTTGCAGAGTGATTGCATCTGTAATGATTATTGGCTAAAGACTAAAGCAAGAGGGTTTTTTCAGTTGCATTAGTGGGGATAAGTATGTAGTATTGTAAAAATATTCTGCAGTCAGTAAAACCATTCTGTATTCATTAGTCTGTGAAGTACTTTAATACTTACAATAACAGTAAGGAAACCCCTAATTACTACTACTTGATGGAATTGTTTGGGGATGAGAGTTCTTTCTCCATTGTCTATACGAAGATATTTACATTTCAAGAATCCAGTTCAGTAATAAGTTTGATACCAGTTAGGTCTAGAGGGC